TTTGCCATTACTTTGTGGCATATGAAAGAAATGGTGGTAACTGATCTGACTAGAGGAGGAATGGTATCTACATACAGCTTACATTCTCAAACACAAGTCTATTCTTTGGGCAAATATGAAATGATTTAAGAAATACTCTCTGACCAAACAATACCAAAATCATGTGAGACACATGGCTGGTATATAGCAGGTTCTCAGACTAGTTTCCTAAAATCAGTAAAAATATTTCAATATAGAGGGACCTGTGTTGTCTAAAACACTCTACTATCTATAGACCAAAAGGGAAAGATACAGATGAGGTACAGAAATGAACTATTCTTAAAAATCTTTTAGGATATTTTATGTCTTGCCTGTTTAAACATACTTCTGTACAGAATATTTAAATAAGAAAAAATACCTTAGCATATCCTTAGTATAATCTGAAGTAATAATCTCAGAACAGATATGTTAACATTGTGCTTTATCAGAAAAATATATTCATCCTCAGGATAAAGTATTACCTTATCCTGTCTCATCTTCTGGATTTGGCCCTGTCTATACTAAAGATTTTCAATAGAATTTGTGAAATCTGAGTTTAAAAACCAAATAATAGTTTCCCAGGCAACACAGTTAGCAGAGCTAGTAACGTTTCAGCATAAATGGTGCCTTCTTAAAAAAAAAAAAATAAATTGTAAGTATCGCTTGCAATTATCACTCATAGAATGGGAAGGGACTTTAAAGATCATCTAGTTCCAACTCCCCTGCCATGGTCAGGGACACTTTCCACTGGACCAGGATACTCAAAGCCCCATCCAACCTGGCCTTGAACACCTCCAGGGTTGGGGTGTCCACAACTTCTCTGGGTGACCTGTTCCAATGTCTCACCACCCTCGTAGTGAAGGATTTCTTCCTTATAGCTAATCTAAATCTGCCCTCTTTCAGTTTAAAGCCATTACCCCTTGCCCTATCTCTACATGTCCTTGCAAAATGTCCCTCTCCAGCTTTTTTGTAGGCCCCCTTCAGGTACTAGAAGGCTGCTATAAGGTGTCCCCAGAGCCTTCTCCTCTCTAGGCTAAACAACTCCAACTCTCTCAACCTGTCCTCACAGGGGACATGCTCCATCCCTCTGATCATCTTTGTGGCCCTTCCTCTGATCCCACTCCAACAGTTCCATGTCCTTCTTGTGCCTAGGACTCCAGAGCTGGATGCAGTGCTCCAGGTGAGGTCTCAGGAGACTGGAGTAGAAGGGGAGAATCCCCTCCCTCGACCTGCTGGTCACGCTGCTTTTGATGCAGCCAGGGATGCTGTTGGCTTTCTGGGCTGCAAGTGCACATCGACATGTCATGTTGCGCTTCTCATGAGCCAACACCCCAAAGTCCTTCTCAGGGCTGCTCTCAATACATTCTCTGCCCAGCCTGTGTTTGTGCTTGGGATTGACCTGAGCCCAGGACCTTGTACTTGGCCTTGCTGAACTTCATGAGGCTTGCACGGGCCCACGTCTCTGGCCCATCAAGGCCCCTCTGGATGGCATCCCTTCCCTCCAGTGTGTCAACTGCACCACACAGCTTGGGTGTCGTCGGCAAACTTGCTCAGGGTGCTCTCAATCCCACTGTCCATGTAATTGCAACCACTTATCAACAGCATCATGGTATAAAATAGGCATGAGTTTTAGCAACTTTCATTTCCTTCAGCCCTTTAAGATATGAATAATACTTTAAAAAAAAAAAAAAAGTTATGCAGCCTATTTGTGCAGTAATCCCATCAGAAGATGAAACTCTGACAACTTTCAGCCACACAAGGACTACACCTAAAACATCCCTAACAGGACAGAACAGCATAATCTATTTAAGAAATATTCTTAAAATTACAAATTAATATATTTTATTGTGGTTTGTTTTGACAAAAGAGATCGCTAGCTGATTTTCAATTCCATTTATTTAGGATTTTTTGAAAGAGAACTCCCTACTACCTTACGCATTTTTGAGAAACATAAACAATGTGACTTAGGATCCTTTTTCAGCAGAACTGATTTATGACATTTAACAAAAAAGTCTGTCAGCGTAATTAGCCAGGAAAGATCCATATCAAACTGAAGAATGTGCAAAATGGTAAAAAAACCCCTGAACTTCCTCCATTCAGGAAGGCTAATATTCACTCCTTGAAGAACATGACTACTGTTAATAGAAAACAAAGTCTAAGGAGGTTCCAATATTGTTAGATTTCTCACTATTTCTTTTAAACAGAAAATATTTAACCAATAAAAATGTACAAGTGTAATTGCCCACTAAATTATACATAGGCTCAAACATTGAAATAGTGAGTCAGTAAATGGAGACCTAAACACAAAACTAACTAGGAGGCTTCGAAGTTTACAAAGATAAACAGGAAGAAATCATGACCAATTCACACAATTACAGAGACTAAACCAGAAAGCAAATAGATTCACCTTTAATAAGGTTATGTCTCTATTGTGAAAATGCTACTTTGCTTAGAAAAAAAAAAAAAAAGGTTTTCTTTAAATTTTACATCTGATATTTTCAAGGGGATACAGTGGGGGAAGGAGGAAATAAAATGGGTAGCATTCAGAAAACCTGAATGTTCAGAAGCAGCCTTGGCTTCTTATGTGAAACAGACTATGACTATCCTCCTGATCTACCTTCTGCAAATATTTCCAAATATGCTATGAAGTATCCCTCTTTGCAAAGAAGATATTTTTCACACAAACAAAACAGTTTTAAACACAGTTGGCTGAAAATAATCATTTCTGAATGTGCTTTAATATGCTTCATTAGGACCAACTGAACAACTTAGAGAAAATAGGCTTGCATCCTTCCACTTTGGCTACGTCGTCCACAATCAAAAAACATTTATAAAATGGTGGGAAAATCTCCAAAGCTTGCTATGCGTGCAGCAGTATCTGCTCTGAACACTAGTGTTATGACTGAACAGGTTTCTGTCCAACCTACAACTTCTACCCTCCAACACCCCCCCACACCCCCTCACCCCCCATTTTATCTTATCAGAGAGAACGCTTCTGTATCTTACCTCTGCATTAATACGATTTTATCCTTCCTGAAAAATCTTGTATCATCTTTTCATAAACCTATGAAGGTCAATTTCTAAAGCACTCAACATTACCTGTGGCTCTTAGGGCTCAGTAAACATGATTCTGCCTATGCTCCTCTGGGTGACATTAATGCATGCTGAAAGAAGTCAGATTTTTATGGATTAAAGAGCATAGCAAACTATGACAGTGTTGATGCTCAAAACAACATTCATCACCAGTAAACGACCTTCGCATTTAGTAACTTTCTTCTTTAAAAGTTACTCTTAAAAAACTGCATCCAGATAAACAAGCTTTGTACAGGCTCAGTAAATATACAGGGTGCCATTATTGCTCAGAAAGGTAACCCATCAGAAGATGAACACTCTTTTTGAAAGCTTGTGAGTAGCTCCAGGCTCCCCGAACGCCAAGTGAAAAGCTCCCAAGCTCCCACCAGAGTGCCAAAACAGGCATTACCATTGAATCAGAGACTTGGGCCACAGCAGATGAGTGTGAAAGAATAGAATTCCTTAATAGCATTATCTTCTATTTCTGTTCATGCTGAAAGTTATCCTCAGTCTGGAGGAGTATGCAAAGTGAGCCAGGCACAGGTGCCTCGGCAGCACAAAGGTAACTTACTTCAGTTTTACATGCAAAAATGCTGTCCTACAGATCTGGAAATCTTGTGAGCTATCCTGTTTTCACTGTATACAGAGCCTCAAAGCATTTGGAAAGAGTTGCTGTTCTAAACTGAAAATAAGGTGCTTTACATCAGAATTTAAAAAATTTATTTCATCATGAAAACCAGTAATTAAACAATTCAATCCCTGCCCATGCCCAATCTGATGCAATCTATCAATATAGATCTGGTGGCTATGTGCTGAACAGGCTTTCAAACAGCCATATCAGGTTTTTTTGTTTGATACTCTGCTGGGTTTGGGGAATTCTATAATTTCATACACATTTAATTCAATACCTTTTAAGTATTAGGAAACCAACTTTAAAAACACACTTAAAAAACAAAAATTGTTTGCTTTTAAATAAACAGTTGCAGGTTTTAGGATTTAGGCTTAAGGACTGAAAACTTGCACTTAAGGGAGTCAATACAAGGTGAATGCTAAGAAAATGAGGTATGTGAGCCTGAGTTCTTTACCTGCTGACTTACTTCAACTTCTCTCCAATAGACTGGTTTTTTTGCAGATAACCTAATAAAAAGCTTATAGTATTCCGAGAAATTTATAAATGAGTTCTTGACAAAAGTTTCAAGAAAAGATATTTATTCAATTTTAGCAGAGGAAGAAAATATAATAAATAGAACATATAGAAATATCTCTTATACCCTTCTTTACAAGATATTTTTACATTCAAACACCACACTTCGGTTACAAATTTCAACTAGTATTTCAAATTTTAAAAGACCACATTCACTGAAAAAGGCAAGAACTTTTAATGTTAAAAAATACACGTCAGAGTGAAAGAGTGCAAATGTTTTATTTCTTGTGGCTAGTGTTAAGTGCTCAAGTCCTTTAGAACACTGCATGGTATATATTAGGTCAGCAATAGTGCAAATATTCAATTAGCCTGCACAACTATTACATTAAGAGAACAATACAGACCACCATTTTTTTCACGGTACCACCTCCATTTGTCTCTCAAATAACACTGATAAGGACTTTTCCAAATTTCTGTAATTATGACAACACAAGCTTTTTAAAAATCCCACACTCAAGGCCTCAGCTGAAGCAAAATGTATCTAAGCTTGAACCTCCTCAAATGAAGACAACTACCAGGCAAGTACAATTCCCACTCTGACACGTTTATACAGGTCTTCGGAGTGCAACTGATACTTTCTCGGCAGAAGCAGATGCAATTCCTATTTTCTTCAGCTGGAATTGCGATGGCAATACCTTAGATTCTGTAGGATGCCCATAGCTGTATTTTGACAGCCATCAGGTTTTCTTCATTTTCTATGTACTATCTATTCAAACCAATTTTCTTTCAGTAAAAAACGTACCGCATCATCAAATCCATTTTGATACAACAATTCCATTTTCTCCTGGTTTGGTGGGAACAAAGCTTGATTAAGTCTTACTAGGTTGGCCAGAGACAGCTGCAACAGAGCAAGAAGCTATAAATTAGTTTATTAAAGCAACTTACCTAGACTTGACTGTGATGCTATCTGTTCTGTCACCTGTTTCATGTAGTGTATGTAAAAACAAAAGACCAGCATGGCTATGTCTACGCTAACAAATTAACTGTGTCCAGGTAGGGTGCTGAGTGCCAAGACAAAACGGCACAAAGGGTCTGCATATACACTGGTAAACTCAGAGCCTCCAACTGTCTTCCTATGAAACTGCCCAAAGTTTCTGAAACATTTTAACTTCGGAAACATTCCCAGAACTGTCTGGCAGAGTGGTAGCTGGCACATGCTAAACTTGTGCAAGGAAATATTTTGACAGCTTACTAGTGCAAACAACCACATTCTTGGGAACGTTCCCAGGCAATGTTTAACATACGAGTATAAAATTAGCTTGTATTACCAACAAATTAAGAACTACTCAGCATCTCAAGTGGTCACTTTCATGGTGTATAAAGATTTCAGAACTCTATTCTTGAATAAAGACATTATTAAGTTGTTTACAACAAAATTAAAAATATAATTAGATTTAATAAAGTTCTGAACACTTTATTTACATGATTAATTTAATACTTTAGCCACATATTTTATTATACACAGTTTTGAAAAACAGTATCAAAATCATCTTCATTATTTGAAGTAATCAGTTATTCAAATTGACACTAATAGATGCAGGAGGTTCAAAAAGATAGAAAACTGTTCACAAACCAATCCAGATAAATGAAGTTATACAACTCTTCATTTTATGCAGATTAGAATATTGCTGAAAAAAAAATTATTCTTACTTCACATTTTTACAGCTCTAAAAGCTAAGGGTGCTTCAAATGGAACAGCTTAAAATGTTGCCTGAGATTCTGAACAAGTCTGCACTTGCAGGACCCTAGAAGAAAAGTAACTCTGCAATTAATTTTCTATCTCTAATCACCAGCTCATTTTTCCTCCTCTAGATGCACTTGATAGTAGATACAAATCACCACCAAGAAATACACAGTAAGCGATTGCATATATTTTCAATAGATATGAAATCAATAATCTCATGCCTTATGATCATTTACCAAGTACTATCATGCTTCAGATCTCTGTGAAACATTATAAAGATTCAGAAATTGTCACAATTTAGGATTACAGTACTCAAATTAAGAAAACATATTAAGAACTGCCTAAAAGAAACTTAAAAAAAAGTACCAATTATTGCTAATCTTTCTTTTTTCTTTCTAATGGAATTTTGTTGACAGCTAGGTCTGCTGCTATTCTATATTTTCTTTCACCACGTCAAAGGTAGCCATACTGTGGTTACAGTTTGTGAGACAAAGCTTGCAATACCAGAAATGTCAACAATGACAACGAGGCCATAAAAATCAGTCTTAGCCTGTACTTCATTATACAGAAATGTTTCTGTAACATCTAAGAAAATAACTTCTGGAAAAGTGTTGTCGTTACAAATGTTCAAAATCTTAACACGAACTCTCTTAAGCAATGAGGTGACAAGTCATTGTACACCATTTCAAATATACAACAAACATATTTTAAATTCAGTTAGTGCAGCTAATTTCAGTAAGTATGAAGGGGTGTTCTGGACTTACCCTCTCCTGAGGTAATCTACAGAAGGGTTTTGGTTGTTTTTTTTTTTTTTTTTCTCTCCGTATAAACACTCTGCTCAGCCAGAGACCGCTGATACTTAAAGGAAGCCTAGATTATTTACATTTAATAGCCTGTGATAATTTGCTCTTTTTTGTACTAGATCAATGCTTTTCAACCTTCCTGACAAAATTTATTCTACATTTTCCTCCCTTTGCGTTTAAGAAAAAGTTTACACTCCATTTGCAAATCAGAAAATGCCAAAATGTTACTTGATATATATGCAGAAAATAAACACTTTAAAATAAGCATAACTTTAACTGCTTAACTACCTTTTCTCCTTCTGAAGTTATTTAGTAAACAAGCAACTCACCATTATATCTTGTTTTGCAAATTTAACATAAAGATCCACACGTCCTTTATCTTGTGGACAGATATCTAATCGACCGCTGAAAGGAGAAATCGTCACAGTTCTTCCAACAGGCAAGATAGGAAGGCCATTGGTAAGGCCACCATCAACCCACTTCTGTTGGAATATAAAAATATTTTCAAAGTAACCTCAGTACAGTATATTCATAACTGAATACTTCCTGTCCCTGCCTCCTCCACCCCACCCTCAAGAAAACTTACAAGTTTCCTTCTCAGAATACTATGAATAAGCTTGAGTACGAGACATAAAAATCAAGGTACTGATAATGTAGGCACAGTGTTTAATCAATAAGTGTTTGACAAAATGTAAATGTGTGTAATGTATTTATCAAGTTACCGATACAGCTTGTTAGTTGATCTAGTAACAAAATGCCCCATACAGAATTTTTCTCAACACATACATGAAAAGATAACATCGTTAATATTACACATGAACCATATTGGATAAAGAATACACCTCTAAAACATTACTCTGATTCAAACTAGGAGCTGGACAATCTGTGTGTACAGGTAAACTGACTGCACAAGCTAAACCAAATATGACTTCTCTCTTCTTCCAGAGCCTCTTGTCTTCTTACATATACAACACAAGGCAGCAATAGCAGGAAAGAGGAGAGTAAAAGTGGGAAGGAGCTGAAGAACTATGGCACGTAAGAGGGAGCAAACGCCAAGTCTGCTACAGGAGTTGAGTACAGAAAAGAATGAGGAAGAAAAAGCAAAAGCAACCAATGAATTTCTTGCAGAGCCCCATACATTTCTTGGTTCTAAAGGTAGTCTAGGGGCACAAGCCTGATCTTCACAGGGAACATAGCCAAACTGCATCCCCTGTATAAGCAGGGACAGCTGTGACATCTCTTTCCAACCTACTTTATACGTATTTGTTACTGTGCTTACATGCATAGCCCAATACTCAACACCAGTCTATTGACTAGATGTGTTCACTGACATCATACATGAAGTCTGGTGATCAGATGCATCTCACTGAAGTTTATCCATCTACAGCCAAATTAGTCATTCTACACTTCCTTTATCATCAAGGGAGAGAAAACACTTCTAGCACATGATCCACCTTATCTTAAAGTAGGCATTTACATCTGACTTGAATCGTGCTTAAAAAGTGCTTTCTTCTCTTCTTCTCCCTGCTTATAAAGGAAACATACATTAACTTTTTAAGATGTAGACTATTGCAGACACCTAAAGTTAGTCAAGTTGAAATGCTGTAAAAAATAATATTGTAAGATTCACCTCAATGTTTCTTAAGGGTTTGACCTCCGCAAAGATAAACTGAATACTCCAGGATATCAGCTTCAAGTTTCATTAACACAGAGCACTGCAAACAAATGGCAAATTGTACTAGTACTCTTTACCACCAGCCAGGCAGAAGACTGCTTTTCTGCTGTAGGTGATACTATATGTGACTGTTATAAAATGGCAAAATAATGCAAGTTTTCCCACAAAATTACTGAAAATGCCACATGAAATTAGTCACAAAATTAAAAAATCTCCCACAAAAAGGATACTATTGGGAAGTTGTTTATGACATCTAAATTAAATTTGTTTTCAAACTGTTGGGAAGACACCAGCTTTCAGTGCAGTGACTGCTACACAGGAAGCATTATCTCAGGTTACAGCGTTTGTTCTTCACAAGACCCTGACATTCTCTGAAGTCTGTCCCTTGGCTGTATAGAACCCTCTCAACTGTGTCCTTTATGCTTGCTTAAAGCAAACCTCCTTTTAATTCATCAGGTATAGATTTCTCCCACATTTGCATTTGTGCAACCAAAAGACTTTGTTGTCACTTGCTCCTCCTTCCACTGTCAACTCCGTATCTGGCAATACATGGATTTACTTTTACACATGGATATACAGCAAGTATCACCTAAGGGGGAGGGGAGGTTGCTTTGCTCCTCCACCCCGCCCTCTTCTTCACTTTCTCAGACGAAATTTACCATTTCACACTTCTTTATGCTCCTGAGATTAAAATATAAACTACAAATATTTGCATTCAGTAGTCTCCATGTATCTTCTCACCCTATTATTTCATAACATGCTTTACAGCTTGACTCTTGACATTAGCTCTTGATGTCAGTACCCACAATCCACCATTGAATTCCTTCACTTTCCACAAAAATCATATTTCTCAATGCTTAGGATTGAGATTGTTTTGCCTTAGACATTTGGGGGGTAGAATCCAAAAGCATTTAAAGCTATCTTTCAGACTTCTCAAACTTCATTACACCACTGTTGCAGTAACTGTGAGTAAAGCTGCAATATACCTTAACATTTCTACCACCAACACTTTTTTTTTTTCCTGTGTGGCTATAAATAGCCATTTATTATTGATTTATATGCAGTGTTCCTTGAAGTACTAAGTGGCTTTTAGTTGCAATTCCTACAGTGACAAGAACAGTGGAGTCCCTGTCTAAGCAGTCAAAGTCACCATAACATTATTGTCTTTCACAAGTCTAGCTTAGTACTTTTAACACTTAAAAAGTTTTTCCACTTTTAAAAATGCTGATTATTTAGGCTTTTTCCTCTCTCCTCTTACGCAACTTCAGTATTTATTCCAAAATCAAAATATTTACCAAGGCAAAGGCAATACCTTTTTATTAAGCACTACCTTTTGCAGATTCTGTTATTCCTGGCTGACATGCCCTCTGTCATTTCATTTTCTTTCAAATGTTTGGGAGAAACTGCTTCTCAGTCAACAATATTTTGGCTCCACAGTCCCTCATGTTACATAGTTAAAACATTTATATGCTGCAAATAAAGAGATATAATGTCCCAGATTCTTTTAATTCCATTAACCAATTCTTGAAAAATGCTTCTTAGCTGATGAGGCAAATTCCCGGTAACTTCTGTATTAGTTTCTTTTTGGTAAGTACAGTGCAAAGACAGAGAAAGTTCTGAAATAATGTGCAATGAAAACCAAACCAGACAATGAAATTAAGGATGTGGGCTGGACCTAACAGAATTTACCCATTTACCAGTAGATGGTTTTTACAAAGCCTTTCTGTAAGAGCTATAGTGACACAAACTACAGCCTCATCCTCAGATACAGTCAAATCAATCATCTGTAGATCTTTACCAGTCTTAAAGATCAACCTTGCCAGAGATTCAGAGGACAACAAACCAACTAAAAGAAAGGTAATTTCACATGGAACAAGTTTGCCCTGCTGTTACTGGTGATGCCTTGAACAAAGGCTAAAAGAGACGGGGGGGGGAAAATTCCACTCTACCTTTTATGGTAGTTATGTTGTGCTTGCCTGAGCAATTCTGAAACTCCTGGTATGCACAAACAGATAAGAGACTCAAGAAACCTTGAGGCTTGCCAAGGAGTTAATTATAATCTCATTATTATACTAAAAGATACAGCCTTGGGTAGAGAAAGCCCCTACTAACAAAAGCCCCCTCCTCACAGAACATGCACAGTTAAAAAAAGGGATGCTGTAACTTTACCTGGAGATGGGATACTGTAGAACCAATAAGAATGACAGTGACTAAGTGTAACTGTTAACTGCTGCTTAGAATGTATAAAAGCTTATCGTCTGATCTGTTAATTAAGCGTGTTCTTGATTTGTGGTAGTTTCCACTGAGCACCCAGCACTGCAAATAAAGAATGCCTGCTTTCTAAAACTCCAAACTGAGTCTTAGAGAGTTTTCTTGACTGGCTTTTTCGGTAACACTGGAAGCCTGTCTGAGGGCACCATAAATATCCAACCCAGGTAAAAATCTAGTTGAGGCCATTAACAGACTATAAATTCTCAGATGTTACCTTACACTCCCTTTTCCTTCAGATTATTTTTAGGCTCATCAAACCCAGAGAAAACGTACTATGAATAGACTGATGTTATGCCTATGCTACCATGCAGTTTAGCTTATTCACCCCAAAAGTCCAGCCTCCAAGCATGCGTACTGCAGGTATGCTAGCTAGTTCCAGTGTGAGCCAAGTGCTTCCCAAAAAGCATTCTTCCTAAAAGAAAACTAAAGTGCAATGCTGGGAACAGTTTACCCTGGGGTTCACTCTCTATAGGCAGTATGGATAGGCTAGCAACAGGTTTGGCTATTTTCTGATACTATTCCAGCAAAATTGCACCATACTCCGTTACGTATCGTGCAACATGTACCTCAGGTAACATACTGAAATACATTTCAAAAACACTCCCAAGTGACCTAGTGATATGTATGCATGTGACATATGTAGCCCAGAGAAGATCCAGGCCAACTGTTCTGAAGCACATGTAAGGCCAATGGACTTGAGCACCTAACAAGGAGTAAGCTCAACTCCATGCTGCCATGGACCACGCAGCCTAAGGAATTTACTTCCTGAAACTAGTGTAAATGCAGACAGACAGAACTTTGGTCTGTTACAGTAAAGCTTTCAGGAAACTTGGAATATGCTGCTAATATGATAGGTGGCCTTACATAGCCAAATCAGTATCCAATCCATCTTACTGACTTTAGTGTTTAGCCATGTCTGGATCATAAGGTTATATGCCATGTACTGGCTCTGCACTGCATGCATTAGGGCCTCTATTACCCACTCACATATCCTCATTACCCACTGTTCCAAGCCATGGAAATACTATTGCAATAGAAATCCTACGGTCTTTGCTCTCACCCCATTCTAAGTATTTTGGACTCCAGAATGGAAGTCACATTGATTTTCTCAAAAAAAAAAAAAAAAAAAAAAAAAAAAAAAAAAAAAAAAAAAAAATTCCCAAACCACAAGTGCACTGTTTTACAGAGTATGAGAAAGTCAGTGCAGACATGCAAACTAATCATTCCAACAAATAATAAACGAAAGCAACCTTCTTCTCAGAAACTGCCTTTTCTGAATCTCACTTAAGGACAGTAGTAAGAAGCTCTGGGAATGACAACAAGCTTTAAAGTAACAGAAGAACCAGTTTCCATGAAACATTTCATGATTTCACTTCTGAATGCAAAAAATAAAGTTAGGCAGGAACAAGAACTGTCCACAGAGAGGCTGCAGGTGTTTCAGTAAGTACTACAATACCCAGACAAATCATAATAGCAATGTTCATCCAGTAAAATCGGTTTAAAATAAGTTTTGGACAAAACTCTAAGCCAACTTTTCAATTTCTTAATTGAAAGAACAACACAAGAAATTTAACAAATAACACTTCCTTCCCTTTAATTAATGGCAGAATGAACCTAAAACCACCTGTATACACCTCCAACTGCAGAAGCAACATATAAGGACTCCAATCAACGAAGTTTCCAGACCCTGTGAAGCTGCAAGCAATTTCCGTTTAATGCAAGCAGTCAGGCAATACCAATTTAAACCCTCCAAACATTTCAGCTGGTGTGTATTGCTGTACACATAATTCTAAAGCTGACAAGCTTTCTGACATAAACTCCAACTCCCTCTTGCTAAAGACAACTGCATATAGTTTTGTGGTTTTTTTCTGGCAGGGTAACTGTGAGGATTATAGATGTTCTAAAGGCATAGTTTGGATGCATATGAGGAAATAAAGGAAAGAATATCATGTAGTATTTCTCAGAAAGAAAAAAATGGCTATTTTCATACTTCTAGTAATTACAAACAGACAAAACAGTCAAAATTGTTCTTAAAATGTTAATATATTTATTTAAGGAAGTCAAAAAAGTTCTTGAAGCTAAACCAAGTACGGGCAACTGTGAAAAGGTTTTCTTATAGTAGCGTACACCTCTGAAAACTTCATAGATGTATGCTTATAAGGGAAAAAGAAAGCTTATTCTTTAATTTTTGTCCAGAGGTAAGAGATTTGAAGGTGCTTGGTAAGAATGTTCTCATGTGCTGTACAGAATTACAACACATATGTAGACAAACACATGTACTCCAGCAATGTTCAACTGCCAAGACCTCCCTTATAATTTCTTCCATTAAACAGAAAAGCAGAATGGTGGTCCTTTAGATTGCAAAAACATTTTAGAGTTGTCGTGAGAAGCATCTTTACTACGAGCAGCTTCTCATGGTAAGCATTAGACATTATCTTTAGGAAACAGCTTCATGGCACAGAGATCATTTTGGTCTCAGCACCCACAATTTTTGAAGCAACACACGATCAGACTCATGTCATCTTTCATGGTGTTAATCTGCAGTATCAACAGATACAGTAACTATTCTACCCCACTTACCCTTCCCCTAAGATCAAATAATTACATCATAAATAAAGAAGGCTTAAAAAAAAAAAAAAAGTTGGTAGTTAAACTTAATGAAAAATTACCTCTCCTTTATATTCCACTGGCTTAATTCCTGCATATACTGGTATAAAACTACTTGCTAGCAGGACCTAGAGAAAAGAAAAGATAAATATAGTAGTAAACAGTTAATATACTAGTTTTTCATAAAACCACTGTAATCTCAAAAGGTCTTCTTGTTGCAGTATGCTAAAATGTGATTAAAAATATTCAGTAGGGTTTTTTTATGACTTGTCAGTGACAACTCTCAAAACAAAAATCACAAATTAACTCACTGATGAATGTGATTCAAAAGAGTGTGAACTTAGCCTTACACAATGTGAAGTAAATCTATCATTCTGCAGAAACTAAATATACATATGCTGAAAAAAATGCCATATAGAGTGTTGTCAAAGAAGAAGCTGACCCCATCATTCTGCTGGTAGGTTAATATAGTGTTTACTCTTCTAATAAATCAGATTTTCTAAGAATTCGAAGTTTCCAAAATAGTACAAACAGCCTGAAAATTCACACATGTATATCTTTATCAGTATCAATACTTTGCATTTAATACATTCAAGTATTAACAAATTACTACTTATCGTATTGTAAGCCTACATTGCTGTCTACAGCAGTTCTCAATTTTGATTTTTCTTTTTAGACTGGGACACCTCATCTGTCATGTACAGATGTGCACACACACATACCTTTCTATCAGCTCACAGTAATATCTATGAGCATGTCTGTATCACTATACCTGTGCATCCACCCATATACGTATATGCAATTACTGTACAGCAATTCAAAGAGAAGGGGTAAATGTGTGGATGAAGTGCAATATGCCAGAAACTTTCATATATCTAAATGTGGAGAATATGCATGTGTTTGCATGGCAGCATGAGACACAAATCTGGGCAACAGAAGCAGCTTACAGACTGGAGTATATACTACCTGAAAGATGATCAGGTGCAAAAAAAACCCCACAAACCATGGAGATCATGGAAGAAAATGCCTGAGCTTTTTTTGGTGGAATTACATTTACTTTTACAAAAAAAAAAAAAAAACAAAAAAAACCACTACTTGCAGTATTAAACACCTCCCCTAACAAGCTTTAATTAAGACTCTATATGAAGTCTTTAACTTTCACTTTGAGAACTCTTTTCTTGCCTATTTCTCTTCCCAGTGATCTAAAGCACCAGAGCTTTGTCTGAGCTCAGACAGAAAGGCTTTCTCCTTATTTTTCAAATGTGAAATAGTAGCTATTTCTCTATCAGACAGGCATAAGATAAGGTCCCCCTTGAAACCATTCCTCTCCAGATTTTCAAAACTGACATCTTACAGGGTTCCCAAGCCCCCAACATCAGCTTCTTCCCCTGCCCAACTCCCTTTCTCCTCCTCTCTCATTCAACACCATCTCAGTAACTTTGGCCCTTCTAAACGAAGATAAATGGGAACAAAAGGTTTAGTGAAGGAAGAGAGTCCAAACCAGGTGACCCCTGAAAAGTGTGAATTCTTTTCAAGAAGACTGAAGAAAGAAGTTGGCCTGCCTTACAAAATCACTTAGATCTCAAGAGTGAGGCAAGGAAGAACAAGTTTGAAGAACTAACACTCTCAGTATTTCCCTACCACTAACAGACCAGTGTGCAATCCTAATCACTGCTCCCACCTTTCCAAACTAAATACGACAGTGTTCTGTGCCCTGCTCCCTCACAAACATACAAATCATGTCTCTCTTCCCCCTCACCTCCAGTTTAAGAACTGCGAGTCTAGGAACACTGGCACGTAATGATTGTCTTCACATACACAAAGACTATACCTAAAGATTATTAACTGCCTTTCCATATCCACTGGGAATAATAAAAGAAAATAAAAGCTTAAAATTGCAGCAACATATATTCCATTTAGCTGTTAGGAAAAGCTTTCGGACCATAAGGCCTCTTAAGCATTGAAACCAATTGCACATGGAAGTTGAAAGATTTCTGGCAGAGGGTACACAAATTTTGCTGCTATAAAACACCATCTGCCCAGCAGCATCTTTATCCATACTTGGATACAGTAGATCATGTCTAGGAAAGGCGTAATACAATTATATAACCTAACAAACTCTAACCCCCACGCTACCAAGGTAGCCGCCAATATTCAGACTGCTGTATAAATGATATATGCATAGCTGAAGGCATGCACAAAAACATGTATTATGAGTTGCACTACAAGAACAGAAAATATGAATATATTCCAATGAGCAATTATTTGGAATTTTATTACTATTATTCCAACCCATTTCACTGCTAGCATATGGAACAAAAGCATAGAACAGAAATGGCTAAGTCAACGAAAGAACTACTGAAATACTAATAAAATATATGTATTTCCAAGGTCATCTTGAAGCTTCTAATTGTCTTCAGGTTAGAAGATTTCATTGCAAAAACCATAAACCTACAGAATAATAATCTCCATGCTTGTCACTGCTGGCTACCATAGCTAGAAATAACACTGCATAATTTGAGACAAATTTTTCACATATTATCTTTGCATGACTAAGTCCTACAAATTTTGAGAACTGACTGACTGTGTAGAATCTAACAGGGTCAAGATTTAAAAAAAAATGACACTTTAAAGGCAAACTTCTAATGCATACTTTGAGATTTTGTTAACAAGTGTTATCTTTTTCCTTTAAGCATTAATTATAAGGGATCTCTATTAATTCTAAA